ATCATCATCATCATCATCATCATCATCATCATCATCATCATCATCATCATCATCGTCACCATTATGTGTTGATTATATTGAATACCTCTATCACAATTTGAAACCTACCATTATTCTATCGGCGTCCATGACAGTATTCAGTCTATGGGCAACAGTAAGCACGGTGCATGATTTAAATTGCTTCCGAATCATTTCTTGAATCAATGTGTCTGTACTAATAACAAAAAACAAGTTTAACGGTATTATGGTATTTTTATGATCATATATAAGCATGATTGTATATAATTTATATTACTATTAACATAAATAATAACCATGGATAATGATTATAATATATTACGTTGATGATAAAAAGTTATTATCTTCTATATGAAACTTATTAACGACATGTTTAGACGTGTCCCACATCATCATCAGGTAATAACGCTTATGCTACTAACGGTTGAAATACTACCGGTAACAAACAACTCATTACAATATCACTCTCATTCTAATTCCTATATACATGACTTACCATAGTATTCCTGACCTCTATATATATGACTTACGGTACCTTAATATTTGCTTGTTTCGTCTTATCTGACCGGTAGTATTTCAACCGTTAGTACCATAAGCGTTATTACCTGATGATGACATGGGACACGTCGAAACATGTCGTTCATAACATAACTGCATTACTGCATTTGTATTATTATTTTGTATAAATATTTGTTTGAATGACTATAATTTATTAATAGGATTATAGCACTGATTGTGTTGTTTCTCCACACTAGATGCAATCTTGTAATTCAATTCAATTCTGATTTTATTTCAGAGATCCATTGTCCTTATCAAAAAATAAAAACAAAAAACAAATACTGTACAAAAGCATTGTCAATTAGACATTTTTGTAAACAATTGTAATATTGACCAATATTATACTCGGAGGTTATGAATGTAGTATGAAAATCAATGAATGACAACCCACTATTGGTCAACATTAGCTGTTGCTTCATCGAGGATCAAGACACGATTTTGACGAAGAATTGCTCTAGCAAGACAAATAAGCTGCCGCTGACCAACACTAAAGTTTGCCCCGCCTTCACCGACGTCCATTTCTAATTGACCAGTGCTTCCACGGACAAACAAATTTAACGTTACCTGGATGGAATAAGGGAATTTAATGAAATCTGACGTTAAAAAATACTAATATTGAAAGATTTTTTTCTTCATTTCATTTCATTAATTTAGTCCAAAGAATAAAACTAACAAACACAAAATAATAAAGCGAGGAAAAAACACTAAATTGGCCGGACAAAATTGCCAAAAAGTGAACCAAATCATTGTCTAGTAACTCTCCGATGCCAATGAGAACATCAATTAACATAAAAATATCATTGAAAATATGTAAAAAAATATAATATGTACAAAATCCTCAACAAAATCATTGTCAAACATTAAATAAATAATAATTATAAAAATACTAATAAAAATAGAAATACAAGAATAGCAGTATGGGTAAGCTTTCCAACGATACCAAACACGACAACTTTTAGCGAGCTTTATTTTTTAACTTTGAACTTTTTTTGGTCGTGTTACTTTCTTTATTGGGCTGTATCTCCGTAAATATGCACTAATTGATCTGTGTATAATTACCTTTCAAATGACACCAGGCACAGACGTGTTATTGGATATTTGATGTGTTACGTCAGTCATCTTGAAATTCAAAATGTCCGCCAAGATGGCGTCGAAATAAATGCCCTCTGCCCCCTCCCCCCTTACAAATGGACTCCGCATGTCCTACGGTTTCCAAAAAATACCAAAATCTTGCTTTTAACATAAAAATCTTACGGCATTACACATGGAACCCCACTGTCATTTAATCTCAGAAGTTGGAAGTTGTTTAAATCGAAAGAGGGAGACATTCATTAAATAAATATTAATCTAAAGATTTGCATTACTGTACAATACTTACACTCTCCAAAGCATGCCATATTTCGAAGTCTTGATATTCACCTAAAGGATCTAAATTAAGACGAAGTGACGTAGAAAACAGAACAGGATCCTGCAAGAATAATATTTAAATTATTATAAATTATTTAAAAAAACAACATATGATCAACATATTATTCTCACTAATTATTTCATAATATGATCGTTTCTCATTACTTTTTGTTAGTTACAAGAAGGGGCTACTGTACTTATTTTTAAATTAGGCCTATTTCAAATAAAGATACAATATATTTCGATTATAAAATGATAAATTCACTTGTAGTACCATCCAAAAGGCTGATTTACGAATTTAGGGTAAGGCTCATGGGGAGCGCAAATCGTCAAGTGGATAAGCTCGATATTTAAAGAGGGGAGCTCTCCCGTTAAATAATTTGGTGTTAGTAACAACCTGAGTGTATTTTCGTTTGGTTAGCAAAACGAAACAGGGACACCAACTATTTTTGGACCTAGCCACTCCAATTTACTCGCGGTAGCATAGGCCTACCTGAGGAATGATTGATATTTTTTTTCGAAGTTCATGTAGTCCAATAGTACTGATGTCGATGCCATCAATTGTGATGGTCCCTTTAGGCTCTGCCAAGCGAAACAAGGCTGTGATTAGAGAACTCTTACCAGCTCCTGTCCTACCAACAACTCCAATCTATTGACATACAAACAGAAAATAATCCACTTACGATGAAAATATAATTGTAGAAACTTCAGATTTTTAGTTGATAGCGAAATAATTGAAATGATAAGAAAATACGTTCAAAATGTTCATAAAATACAAAATAGCCAAAATGTAATACTGTAATACTTGTTTGTATCATAATCATTTTTATTATTGTCATTATGCATTGTTAAAATATCATAACAATTACCTACTTTATTACTAGTAGAATAGCTGTAAACTTCAGTCTGCTCCTACTTCGCTATTAAGACATCACCGTGCTACAAATAATTATTCTCCCGAATGTAGTAAACGGACGCTTAAGTCAACTCGGTCCAAGGGGTTAATGACGTTTGGGTAATCCATATGTAACCCACCTTACCCATGGAACATACACCCAAAGAAAACTGCAGTACTCTGGCATCTGCTTGTAATAATTTAATTTATAAATCGGCAACACAAGGAGTATTTTGTAACGGTCTATCTGCCTGTTCTGTACGATACACTTTCGGTGTGTTTATTACACCGTATGTTAATACTGAGGCAAACAAATAATTGTTATTGCTAAATTTTTGTTTATTGAAACAAATTATATTGTACCTTTTCCTTAGGGAAAATTTCAAGCGTCATATTCTTCAATACGTTAGGTCCGTTTGGGGAGTAGGATAGAGACACATGTTTGAAGCTCACTCCACCATCACCTGGCCAAGATGACGGAGGCTTGGTTGCAAGGATTCTCAGAGGTGCTTCTGGTTTTAGCTTTGTGTATTCCAAGACACGCTCTACAGACGTCATCTGGAATACAACACGAAATGATGAAGAGTAGTGGCTTTTGGTATTCTTATTCATTTCCACTGATTGGGAAGTAAATGGTTCAAATTAGGTATTTTCTTATAATTTTGCAATTGAATTGTATGCACAATTTTATAAATAATGTGCATTTACTTTAAACCAATTTTTTAAGACGTGTCATTTTCTGCTTTAATAATCATCTCTTTATCAGTAATTTGAATATATATCTATGTTTATGCAGCATATCCTGTTCATTACCGCAAAAATAGCACAGTATTTGAGTCAATACTCGAAATACTTGCGTATAATTTAAACTGCTGTTATAGTACTAATAATTTCCCCACAGGCTCTTTAAATTTGTTTGAAATTATAATTTAGTAAAAAAAATGGAAAGTCCATGTCTGTAAGTTTTTTGTACACAACATTTTTGTTTAGCTGAAATTTTGTTTTCATAATCTTTAAAAACTAGCTTCATTATCATTGCTAGTAAAAATAAAATATGAAATTATATTCAATTATAAATAAATTCAGTAAACTAAAAATAAAAATTAATTACCAGGTTTTCTACGTAATTTGTTAAGAAGAATACGTATTGGAATATTTGACATAGAAGTAATGTTCTGCTCAAGATAATTCCAACCAAGCCAGCATTCAGAGCTAAATACAGAACAAAAAATAATGAGTTATTATGACAAAGATGCAAAAAATAAATATTAAAATAAATAAAATAATAGTATATACTCATATATACTGCAGTATACAAATTGCGTATTAGATAAATAAATATAATGTTTAGAAAAGGCGGCGTCCTCTGCAAGTCGAAAATGGCATCGCAAGCAGCCCACCCATACTTTTTACCAATAATTATCATTATCAACATAGGCAGTTCACACAATGCCGCTAGAATGCCTGACTTCCGGTAGGTAAAAACCGTTACAATTCTGTAATGCAAAGCACGCTAGCTGCTCGTTCCTCCTCTATTTATATTCTTTGGTTGAATGTATTGATATAAGAAAGTATAATACATACTCCAAGTATTGAAATACACGCCATCGTGTTGGGATTCAATATTTCGACATTAATTATGTCATCATTAGGAATGATGATGTATTGATATTGTAATAGTGATTATATTGGCAAGACGGATAGATGCTTAATAACTAGACTTAAAGAACATTCTTCACGATCTGATAGTGTTATAAATGATACAAAATTGTGAGGCATTCCAATATATTTTAGGTTTACAAGGTATACTTGAAAATGATAATGTAGCCTGTAATTTAAGTAATACATTAGGTTTAATAAATACTAACATTATTGACAGTTCGCAAAATTGGTCTATACTATAATTGTTTAAAGAAGCGTTTGCTATACGTAGGCTACACCCATTGCTTAACAATGGGCTGAAAGATTCAAAGGAGCTTTCTTTGTTTTTGTGGGTAACTTTGATTAGTAGGGTAAGGATGCTTTGATTTTTAGTTTATTAATAGCATATATGGAAACGTACCATTGCTCTCCAAGGTCGCCTTAACCATTGGAGAAAACTGGATTTTTTTTTCACAAAAGTACGTTTTTGGTACAAAATCTAGGATTTTCTTTTAATGGCCCAAGCAGATTATGTTGTAAAAAATATTAATCTACCAATTCGTGAAGAAAAAATGGGAAAAATCCCTACAGTTTTGTCGGAATACGCCGATTTATAACAACTCCTCGCGCCGATTTAGATAGGGAATTTCAAGAATTTGAGGTTTTTGGCTGTTCCGAGCTCGTTTCTTACTCCCTCACTCACAGACTATTTGTTTGTTCGAATTGGCCCAAGTGGATTCTTGGAGAGAATATAATAAGCTTGAAGCTGATATAAAACTTAGTATGATTGGTTGGGTAGTTTTATCTGAAAATAAGAAAATATAAAATCCATCCAATCCACGATTGCCTCTCATGGGGTCAAAAAATCTCTCAAGCGTGATAGTCCGATTCACTGGTATGACGTCATACTTCTGTTTGCTTGACTTGTTCGCAGTGTTTGACTTCTTTCTTCGTGTATTTTGGCCTAATTTAGTTATCAGTTGGATTTTTGTGTGCTATTATTACCATTATTAAAAAACAATTGTCCCAAAACAAGATACTTGCAGCAATTAGGCTATATTTCTGCAAAAAATGAAATTTATAGTCAGGACCGTTTGAAAATTTCCGTAGGAGTGTACCGTAGAGCTAAGCCAATCCCGCCAACAAGTGTGGACTATGGGAATAGAGATCTCAGCATTTGTTCACTTTACATTGTACTATGTGTACTGTTAACTATGTGTTCAAATACAAGTTTTAACTAAAGAATATTGACTGTGCAGTTTGAGTTTTGTTAGTATTTAACCCCATAATTAAAATGAAACAAACCCAATGTTTTAATTGGTCGATCCAAACTGCTTGTACAGCAGGGTTGATTTGACAATAGAGAAAATAGAATCTCTATGATTTGACCTCAGTTCGCTGCTTTAGTGATAGCTGGAATAGCAAATGATAAAAAGTGGCAAAAACGTTTCCATATCCTCACTATAATACCTTCTTGGTCCAAGTATAGCCTATATAACATGGTGGCAGCGCATGGAGCCCGTATTCTAGAACACAGTACTCATTAACACTCTTGGATGGAGAGATTGACGTATGTAAAGTGCTCCAAAATCAAAAGCGAAATGCACAGCGAAGGTTCGAACCACCGACCTCGAGGTTGAGAGACCGAAATGCAACCGCCCCGGCATCCGCTCCCACAAGGCTTATGTACTAGATTGATTTAAAATGGTACTATGATTTAAAATAGTACTATCCCCGATGATGTCATAATTAATGTTGAAATATTGAATCCCGACACGATTGTGTGCATTTCGATACTTGGAGTATGTATTATTTACTATCGTATAATTAAAGTGGGAGAAATTTACTATTTACTTACAATCTCTGGCAAATATACTTCCAAACGATGTGAAAGTCATAAAGATATTTATTATGATGTACACCCAGACAGCACAAGCACGTGAAGCTGCCAAGTACAGCAACCAAACCTCGGAATGACGGTCTTGAACAAGGTAGAAATTCTTTAGAAATTGAGGCTGCATTTTGTAGGAACGTAACGTTATTAAACCGTCCATTGTTTGTGTTACTTGCGCAAACACGGGAGACCGCACTAGAAGAAATGAAAAAAATATCGTAGAAAACAAAGGCATATGCCTATATAAAATAATATTTTAGAAAAAGAAGGTTCTCAATAATCGCCGTTTGTGTCCTAATAAAGTTTAGTATTTACCATTAGATATGTGCTTGTTAAAACATGACTGTACCAAATCAACTACTGATGATAAAAAAAAAACCTCAAACGTTTATTGGCTCTAGTACAGTGGGTGCTACATTTAGATACGCACTTTAAAGTCCAATTTTAATTATGCTTGCTTATGATTATTGAATTTTTACATGTTTAACAAATGAGTGGTGATAAAATATTTAATTTTTGGTTTATAAATATTAAAAATAACGGTTTAAAATATTATTAAAATATAATTAAAATATAACATTATAAAATTATAAAAACTTACAGATGCCTTCCCATCTCTTAATATCATGAAGTGTTGGGATTCCATAATGCCGCACCAGGAAATATAATAAGCATAATGGGAGTGTGATGAAGATCAAATACCAGTTTAGAATACAATTCACAAGGATTATACTACTGGCTAGAAAGAGGATCTGGAAAAAAGTAAATTGGTAACTGATAATAATAATAATAATAATAATAATAATAATAATAATAATAATAATAATAATAATAATAATAATAATAATAATAATAATAATAATAATAATAATAATGACGACGACGACGACGACGATCGATGGCGACGACGTTGATGATAATGATAATAATACATCACGAGTTGTAATAGCCATCTTGCTTGGCAAAGCTTTGGTCGAGGATGGCTGTTTTCCAATTATTTACTGATAATTTCAGGCTCAGTGATGACCCCGCCAAATCCAGTTTTGAAATCCGAATTTCTGGGGTTTTTTTTGTACTTTTTTAAGCTTGGATGCTGAATACACCATAAGCACTGAGTGGTGCACACCGGCGCTATAAATGTCTCATAGAATTATTATTATTAACAATAATTATATGAAACTTATTCATTGTTATTATTATTGATCATTAATAATATTAATGCTGAATACATGTTATATAACTCTATATAACTTTATATAACACGCCATTAATGTAGGTCTACTTAACTAGCGTTTGCCCAATACAGCGCCCTCAAATTAGAATAAAAATGCAGAGCTAAATATCAGGTAATAGGCCTACCTGAAGAGCATCAAAGAACATTGCCGGTAAAGTGTCATCCATAATACCCATATCTTTGGTGAAGCGATTTAAGATTCGACCTACCAGAGGAATATAATGGAAATCATAATGGTTCTTAATATACCTAACAATATTATGATAATTATACTAGTAATAATAGAGGATACTAAACAAAGTAATGATAATTACTCTACTTTTGATTAACAAATTAGTTGTTACAGTTAAATAATGTTTATGAAATTGAAAGAAATTTAGTACGGTAAGCTTCTTTAATCTGTTTTCATACCAACTGGGTTCACATCAAAGAAAAGTATAGGTGTTCGAATGACGCTGTCAAACATATAGCCATGAAGATTCTTTGTCGCTGTTAACACCACGTAGAAGAAGATAACGGCGCGTAGTACGGCAAACAATGTGTTTACGCCAATTAAACCGATAAACACATATGCAGACTGTTTATTACTCAAATCTATGTAACGATATGGATCGCCAAACTGAAAGCAGAAAAATGAAAATGGTCTGAAGCAGGGGCTATAATGTTTGCCTTGGTGATAAGTGGAAGAGATTACCAACATAATGATGAATATTGAAAGTCCCGACCCTCAGGTTCTACTATATATGTTTCACCACCAATACTTACTACATCATCAGGACAAGTCACGTTCAGAGTTCTACATTCCTCTTGATTTGCCCAATGGGAAACCCAGAAGTCAGCCATCACGTATATGATCTAGATAACATTATCATTAATAAAATTAATACTGTTGTTACTATTGTTTATATTTGATAACAAATAATAATAATAATAATAATAATAATAATAATAATAATAACATTAACAATATTAATAGCATTTATAACAATAATAGCATTAACAATAATAACAAAAACAAAATAGAAATACTTAATAATAATAATATTATTATTATTAAACAGTAATGACAACAACAATAATAGCAAAAAAAAACATTGACAATACCAATAATTATAGCAATAGCTCAACATTTTTAAAGGGAGAATCAACAAAATCTGCATCAAAAATATTATTTACATAATATAGAATTATACATTTTTGAACGTAGGCCTACTGTTGTGGTTTACGTGGTAAATATGAGTAAATTACGTTATGTTTTCAACACTTATTAACATAAATGTACGGGTTATTTTTTTTTGAAGGAGTGAGCTTCCTCATGAGATTTTTATCTAAAAAAAATAGAGCTCATACCTGAGTTACCACAATGAAGAATAACAGGATAAAAAGCAAAAGATAGCCACCGCCGGCACGAAAGAAACGCTTGTAAACCTGGCAACTGACATGACCTTGTTGACCCTTTTCGTCCGCCATTCCTTTAATTCCAGCAAGCTGTACGGTATGTAATCATATTCATAAATATACCCATAATTACATATCAATAAATATATTACTTAAGTGATTTATTATTAGTCGAGTCTACAGGTGAGTAAATGGCAGTTCTGTTTACCATTATGTAAATTTAGATGTTGCCACTAACTCTAATATTTACAATAAAAGAAAAACAATTTGCTTAAATTCGAACTAAAATAATTTCTTCGCAAATTAAAAGTTGTTCCTGAATATAATTGTTTTTAGTTTATGACGTATAATAAATTAATAACTTATGTGGTTTTTGATAAAATATTTTGTTATATATTTGAGCGGTAGGTCTATAACATCTTTAAATGGACGGATAGGAGTGCTGGCACATTTATAGTATTAGCACCGTTGTATATTTAGCTGAATTCAACTAACAAGTTTTTAAAATAGGCAAAGGTTTAATAGCTGGACGGTTTTTACGTTTTAAAACAATATATAATTGTATATGATTAAAGTTATTTCTACATTATTTAGAGTATACGATTGCATTATTATATCGTAAACCTACGGGAGTTTTTTCGTTGACCGTCCCTGTAGCACTTGGGTTATTTGAAAGCTTCATGAACATCGAAATATCTTCTTCCTGAAAAAATTAATTCAAGGCAAAAATTAGTATCATTGCATAGGCTTATGTAATGTAAGTAACATCAAATCTGTGTACATACCATAGAACAAAATTTAATGAGTTTAATCTTTTGATTAATAATGTTTTCTGCGTTTAATGTACAGTGTTATACATCACATTTTAGTAGAAACGGTGCTCGAATATAGGGAAATAATGTAAAGATTTGGTTTTCTATGATTTGTTTATTTTTGTTCACTTGATCTTGAAAATGCGCCCATGACACGAAACGTTGATCCTTTATGTCAATAAATTCTGTGTTAAAGTTCGGCCCTATATAGTAAACGTCTGTTGATTCGTAGAAATATTTCAACAACGAAATATTTTCATTCAAACGTCAGCTTAATTGCATCGTGGATAAAAAATAGAAATCGCTCTATATTATTACGCTTGTTTCAAATCCTACCGTCACAGATGCAAAACAGAGATACTCAATAAACGTCAGTGATTCGAAACCAACAGGTCTAAAACTCCAATAAAATAAATCATCAAAAAAGTGAATATCAATCCATAATTCAGATCAAATGACTTTTACCATTGTTTTACGATGACATGGTTTGATGTTTACGTAGGCATTTTTCCGCATTCGCTATCCGTGCCTTTAGTACTCAATTGTTTTGCAATGTTGAACTACACTAAATAGATAAACTTCTGAACTTGCGTTTAACTCAGTCGAAAAACTATTCAATATATTATTTATTTAGTTTTTATCTGGAGCATTTTTGTCTGAAAGTAAGGCTGTTATGGCACGCCATAAAGTATAGGACTCCCAAGATGTTTTAATTACTGAATTAAATATCCAATACTCACTAATACTGAGTAAATAGTAATACGTACTGTAGGTAGGCCTTAGGCCTTGCCTAGGTAAAACTAAGTATTGAATATTTTTGTTTTAATCAGCAAAAATAAGCTCTAAATTTCCACAGAAGACCTTAAAAACGGCCCAAAATTGTTTTTCCGCGGACCGCAATAAGGGCATTATGGACAGTGCATCACATCCACTAAAATCTCAAAATAAATATGTCCAAACTATCAAATTTTATTTGACTTAAAACTGTTGTTTGCCCATATGTACACAGTCATGATGTGCCTATAGAGTATGTGATCATGATATGATATCATCATCACTAAATATAGGCATGTCCATGTTTTTGTCAAATAAAGTCTGGACAGGCCTTAAAATTATGTACACTATGAATAACGGCTGGGCCCTATTTCCTTTTCCAGGAAACTTTTTTTAAAGAACTCCCCCAGCCCATACTCTTAGCTTTCAAAAATAGAAGATGACATAGTGCGACCGTAAGCTACTTTTCCCTACAGGTAAGTTGAGCACATGCGCCTTGAGCAACTTTGGTGGAGATGTGCGCTTTATAAATCTTTATTATTATTATTATTATTATTATTATTATTATTATTATTGCAAGTTCTAAGCCAATCAAAACGCGTAAACAGTACGTCATATTCATAGGCATGGTAATAGGTCACAACTAGGCATCGCTTGAGGAGTAGGGGTGTGCGTCGTGTGGGTGACTGACTAAGCACTGTATACACAGGAACGTTTTCTGCTATTCAACATAATGATTTTACAGATTATAATTAATGTTTATGTATTACCGTATAAGTGTTTATAGTTGTATGGTACCTGTATTGCATTGTAATTGAGGAAGCTGCAAATAAGGTTACAAAACCGGAAAATGTTAACGTTTATCTTTGCCAACCTTACTGAACACCTTTTCAAATCCGCCGAAATCTGTATCTGTATGTATATGTATATGTATTATATATGTATATATATATATATATTTATTATATGTATACATATACATATATAATACTTATATTATATTGGCCTATATAATATAAATAACGCAGTGAATTCTGTCGCCTTACCGAGTCGCTTTGCCGTTTCATTTTTTCGTCTTCTTCGTCACTTGTGACAGATGCTATGAAATCATCGGAATTTTTTACATCGTCGTATGTTCCTATTCTTTCAATTTTACCCTAAAATAGAAATTTTCACTAAAAGTTAATTCATGTTTGAATGAAGTTATTTAATTTTTAGGAATTTAAATATGTTTTAAAACTTACATTTTTTAAAAGCAAAATCCTATCAGCGTCGTGTAAATACTGCAACTGGTGAGTGATTAGAATTCGAGGCTTTTTATGAAGGTATTCCATGATGCATCTGTAAATTTAAAACTTTAAATATTTATTGACATAACACATGACGACATCATCATGAAATTCAACTTATCACTGTTCATGTACAATATTGCTATTCCAAATTCAACACCAGGCACGCTAGAAGATAATTAAGCCTTCAATCACCACAAAGCATTCATGATCTATATTGAGTAGGCCTGTGAAAATTCACCCACAAAAATCTGTCGCTGTAAAAGTCCTTGATTCGCCGTGTTTGCAAAAGGTCCAGAGCGTTGAGAATCGATCGTTTTATTTCATTTTTGGTTAGATTTTTTAAATTTTTGAAGTAAAATGATTGTCTTTAGACTTTACATTTTAGGATTATTAATGCAAAAACGTTAAGCCTTAAATGATACTTACGGTAATCTTCAAACACAAAAATGAAAAAAAATATTGATATTAAATATACAATCTAATTTCTTTCTACTCACTTTTCAAATATTTGTTTTCCAACTTTGGTGTCGACTGCACTCAGTGGGTCATCTAAAACATAAATGTCAGCATCTTTATATAGCGCCCTCGCTAGGTTGACCCTTGCTTGCTGTCCACCACTCAAGGTAACACCACGCTCACCAATCATAGTCATGTCTCCTTTCGGTAAAATTTCGAAGTCCTAAAATAAGAAAATTGCGAACAATAGAATATAATTCAAGTAATTCAAAGAGATAGATATAAATCAAATGTATTTTATATGGATTATATATAATACAGATATTTAATTCCTTTATGTTTCCTGATTTGTAGGTCCGTCCGTTACATTTTTTTTTTTAAAGCTTAAAAAAATAAGAAAGTTTGGAGGATCTTTTTAAATAAAACTAAATTAGCAGACTGTTTAACAGAAATGGGTACTATTATACACATCTAGATGTGTATAAGAGACAGTTTCTAATGAACGTTAACCATATGTTTTCCGTTTATTTTTAAGTAAAGCGACTTGCAGAAGGTTTTTATCAGTGGAACGGAGTTCATGGGAGGGAACAGAGGGCGTAAGAAACTCAAAGAAAAAATACGATGGTTGTTTAAGTGAGAGCATTTTAAATTTAAATTTCATAAAGAATGGGTTGAATGTTGTTAATGGGGGGGGGGGGGTAAAGAAACAAATTCGGGCAGCAGAGTTTTGGACTTTTTGTAATCGGTAGATGAGGAACTCAGGTAAACCAATAAACAAAGAGTTATAATAATCCAACTTACAAGAAATAAATGCATGAAAAAGTTTTACCGTTGATTTGGAACCGAGGTATTTACGGTTTCGCCAAAGGTTTTGAATATACAAAAAAATGTGAATTACAAATGGAAAGAAACAAAAAGCAAAGATATAGAAGGAATAAAGAAAAATAGGTTTGAAATCTTAAAGAACCTCTTATTAGTTATGATTACGGTATCTCTAGAATGTCGGATGGCACTCTTAGACTTTGAATATAATTTTTAATTTTATCTCATTTTTTTTTAATTTCCAGGCCGGCTTCCCCACGACCTTGAACACGCCACTGACTACAATACTTATACACTTTTAAAACAGCAACTTACCCTTGAAAGTGCAGCTACTTCGATGATAGTCTGGTAGTAATCTTCATCAAATTTCTTCCCAAAAAGTATGTTTTGTCGTATAGTTCCCGGGAAAATACACGCCTTCTGCGAGACATATGCAATACTACCACGCAGGTGAATTTGTCCAGACATAAACGGTAGTTCCTGAAGTAAGGCTAGTAGGAGGGTTGACTAAGATAGAAAGTATGCAAACGTTACTAAAAATACTTTAGGAAATTGGACTGACTGTGTCAATATCAAATGTTTTAAATAGGCATACATATAAAATAGCGAAAAGTAACACATGAATTTAAAAATCGACTTTAAACAATATATTTAACTACAGGAAAGTGTATTGAAACGCCCGATACACCAATTGTTCCTGGTCTAGAGAGCCAAAACACTTGGAAGTTTATACTCTGCAGACAATAACAGAACAGGCATACAGCACACATGTTGGCTCTGTTAACCTTATTGACGTGGAATATTAGTACACAGAAATAATACTTCTCAACATATCAAAAATTGTTACAACTTACTTTTCCAGATCCAACTGGACCAATGATTGCTAACATTTCTCCTTCACAGACTGTGACAGAGATTCCATCTATTACAGGAGAGTCAAACCTCTGGAATATAAAATATTCGATGTTGCTTCTCATTGACCATATTTTATGGTAAAAATTATTTCATATTAATTGTAACAAGGTAATTATTAATTTCGATTTAAAAATCATTTTAACGATTAAAATATTGGAGGTGAAATTGAAAATGTTGTGTTTACTTTTGCCATTCAATAAAAATATTTAGTAGAGACAAACCAAACAGGTCCAAATTTAGACCAAAATCGGAAACCAAATTCCAACGGTAATCCTGGTGGTGAATTGGGCCATAGATTATAATTCAGATTGAACTTCATTGTTAACTTTTGTTGCATTTTCAAATAAAATATAAGTCAGCTTGTTAACTTCCTTTTTAAAATAAATATTATCCAAATATCAAATAAACTACGTACATTATTTGAATTATTTATAGCTTTAAAGGAAGGGACTTTATCCCCCATCCAGTAAGATGGCCTAAATTAAAAATTTTAAACAAATTAAATGTTAGTTTATAAACCACACTCACCACGTGAGGGGACCATATTCCCATAATGGACCTAAGGTAGGTGTTGATTAAACTATATGAAAATGTTGTTGGCCTTCCCTAACGAAAAATCATTGACCCGCCCATGAATATTTATTGTTTGCGGCCAGCAGTAGGGACTTAATTGTAAAACTGGTCCAAATTACCTCAGTGAACATATGCGTATCTCCATTCAGTAGCGTAACTGTTCCTTTGGTACATGACGACGGTTTAAAATGATCGTTATCGTAAAGCAAAAATGTCTATATAATTATAGAAAACACTGATTAAAACGTTATAATGTGATGGACAACCGTTTAAAATAATGCTGAATGTTGATTCTTAATTGGCCACGAAGTCATTTTCAATGTTTTACCAATTTTGCTGACAATGCTATTGTGATAAGAATAATTTATGGTCGAATTTTATTTTGGTAAAAAGCCTATTGTTTTACCAAAGAGAAGTCTAAAATATTTTTGTTTGAAAAAAAAAAACCACTTTTAAAGCCGTGGTTAATCAATTTCATTACTATTTATAAACATTGATCTTACGAACCAAAATACAGTGGGTGAGTGATAGTTGGCATAGAACCTTATAATTACGCAGGCATATAGTAAAAAAAAAACCTAGACCAACCATGCTTTCTAAATTTATATTTGCCTTATGATGATTTGTATAATGGTAAATTATTGTGCTGATGATAAAAATAGTGACAGTGATGACGGTTCATAACAATGAAAACGACGACGAATATAACTGGTAAATTAATGGCGAAACTATCTAGGGTTATTAACGAAAAGGACGATAGTGATCATAATTATTGAGTTGCTAGTGATGATGAGGATGAAAATGATGACTGTGGTGATGATAAGGGTGATTATGAGGAGGATGGTTATAATAACTATGATGCTGGCCGTTGAAAATGTTAAGGTAGAAAATACTGAACTTTATGATAGAAAACAATTGACAAGCATGTCTTACATCGTCCCAGGTGCCGGAGAGATTTGTAACTGTGATACCTGGCTCAGTAGCTTCATAAACATGTTGAAACTCAAGTCCCGAAATGCTTGTGTTTTGTTCTTCAAGTAACATAAATTCCTGTTGAAAATCAAGGATATTTGATTGTATTAATATTACAGTGCACCCTCCAATTCGAGACCCCTCTAATTCGAGACCACTTTTCCAAAGACTCAAATAACAATCTTCAACATTTTAACACAAATCTAGCCCTCTAATTGGGGACCAACTTCGAGACCACACCAAATTTTCAAGTCCCAAAGGTGGTCTCGAATTAAAGGGTGTACTGTGGTTATAACATCAAGTTGTATAAGACTTATTCTTTCACACATTTTCGCATAATTTATTTTAATGTAATTGAAATATCAGCATAATATTAATAGGTCCTTTAAATTATTTTGGGGCCTACCTCAATGCGATTACAACCAACGAGACACTCAGATATTAGTTGAATCGCCTGCGGCATGGAACGCAGCAATGGCGTTCGAATAGCAGACATCAAACTGGAGATTACAAACACGGTGGAAGAGGAAAAGTCTTCAGTTGTCAGGAAATAAATGGTTAAAAATATCACCTCAAGCAGTCGGTTACCAGCGTAAGCTATTGCAAGATTTAAACACTTTAGTATCGAAGCAAACATAATGGCAGAGATCTCAGATCTAAAAAAGAAAAAAACATGGGCCTATTATATTTAATATTTTTAAAGTTATTCAGGTTGTGATCTGTCTCTTATACACATCTAGATGTGTATAAGAGACAGGTACTATCCTTCATGCCTCGATAATAATATCAATAAAGAAAATATAGAAATATGAAGCGAAAATCACATAATAGGGCCTATGGATGGGGGAGCTTAAATTGGCCCGAAGTACAAATTATATTTGAATAATTGTTCTAGCTTCCTACGTGTGGTGTTTTAACCTAGCAGATTCAACTATGATTTTAATTAATTCTACCACCATCTGACTACAGTAAACCGCAAAGTTCTTTGCCTAATAAAAGCCCGATAAGTTAGTAAATACTGTAATAATTATATTCTCGTTAGTATATAGATTAATTATAGAATAATATTAACATCATTAATTTTTATGGCTGTTCAAATATTGCCAACTTGAATGGAAAATTTACATAGGCCCTATCTACTAAATAGCATATATAGTAGGCCTACATACAATATATCCACAAGCACTTAAACCGGACTATCGGGTAGGAGTAAATGGTAATGATCGACACAAAAAACCATTTGTGCCAAATGCAATTTATTTAAATTCCACAGTTTGCCGCTTTTAACCACAACTCTTAATTAATGCTCAAATTTAATATATATATATATATATACATATATATAGGCCTATATATGTATATAGGTCTATATATATATATATATTTTTTTTAGTCGAAAAAATTAAATATTTGTCAGTAATTAGCATATTTTGTATGTTGTTATTGAGCTTAAATTAAATAACTTTAATTATCAAATTACACGTTGCAAATCGTTTTTGCTTGTGCTGTTAATTAGGCCTAAGTTTTATTTCTTTCGTTTTTGTAAGAAGAAAGTGGATGCAGATCATTGAGGAATTGAATACTAATTATTTGCATGTGTAAATTGTGATCTAAAAAGGAGGTAGAATATGGTAGTAAAGTGGAATTTCCAGAAGAACATTCAATAAAAACTGCACTGCGCCACTTGACTTTTGCACTGCCGATTGTAGTTTGTCCTTTTGGTGATATCATGCCAAAAGGACAAACTACAATCGGCAGTGCAAAAGTCAAGTGGCGCAGTGCAAAGAGCAAGTGGCACAGCACGCAATTGAGTTTGCACTGCGCCACATTAATTTGTCCTTTAGGAGTTCCATAAAATATTACGTCAGCGTAGGTAGTCGACGCGATTTCATGAGCAAAGAAAACTGGCGTTGCGTCTGACAGGCGCTAATGCAGAGCGTTGAGAAATCTGCCAGCCGACTGTCGGCATATTTAACAATTTGTGCCAAGCTAAGCTTGCCTAAGTTATAGAAACAACCAGCAGACCTTACCGCCTAACTTGTTTCACCATTCGGGCAAATGGTTTTTCCCATGCATACATTTTTATGACCCGCATGGCTGCTAGAACCTCACTCATTATTGTGATCCTTTTATCGGTAATTGTGGCCGTCTTCTTTCTGAGAAAGAGTTATTTCGAAATTGCAAAATTATTCCAATTTCCATATTGAATTTATAAGCAGATTTCACATACGGTACGGTACTTTATTAATAAATAACCAAAACTGAGCTAAATACCCAGAGTATAATAATTAGTGAACTAATAAGCCCAAATGCAATTATTATTTTGTTTATTTCTGTTATTGAATTTAGTTATGGCTACTAGATTTCTATTAGAATTGAATAGGCTTTTGTTGTTGTGATGCAAAATATCATAGGCATAACAAACATATAATTCAACGCCTACACCATGTCTGGTAAGCAGTTCCAAATTCCAAAGAGTCAAAATTATTCTTTAAATCTATGTAATTCAACTTTTTTAAATTTAAATGTTTAACGGTTTCTCCCAGTCAACTTCGACAATCGACCACTGTTTAAAATATTTCCACCTAAAAAATAACAACTTTAGAAGATTGAAAACTTCTGGAAAATCTATAAAAGCTGAAAATGACCTCTGGACAATTAATATTATAGATGAAAATTTTAAAAAAATAATTTTCAATAATTGTTTTGGCTTTTATTTCTATTTTCCAACTGAAGATACATAAGCGTATTAAATTTAGGTGACAGTATTATTATTTATACTTAGATGAGATTATGAGCTTTACATACATTTATGTTTTTGAAATGTTAATAGTTACACCTCCCTGGTTATATAGACCGACTTTACACTGGTGAAATTTGGATTATTAAGGTAAAATTGTAATTATAGTGCATCATTTTTCTTTTCAATAAATATAAATCAAAATCATCGTACCTGTAGAAGCCGAAAATGGTCCCCAAACACGTTTGCATTGGTAATAGGCAAAGCATGAGTATAGAGTACCCAATCAGTACGTATTTCCATTTCATGCCAACGTAATACACCATTATGAACAATGCTATAACACTATCGATAGGCCCCAACCAGATATACGGGAATACCATAGCCATCTATGTATGAAAATTTACATTCTATTAATATAATAGGTCAAAGTCAAAATGAAAAACGTTTTGACAATACTTAATTTTTTGACGTTTTGACAATCCATTCTCATTTCAACAATGATATCAATATTAATAAAATCTATATATTAATTCCTCTAATCGCCTCCGCATAACTTCACCTACCTCATCTGAAACCGCTGGCAGAAATGTGCTCATATCTCATACACTGGGGATTCTATGTCACGACCACAGTCAAAAACTATTTAAAAAAAATCAGTACCAGTTTCGCCATGTTTTGCGAGTTGCTGACGTCATATAAATGAATCAACTCTGTTAATCTGTACCACAGTGCTCGGGTCTAAAATACAGTCTATGGGCTTATTCGACTGGTGCATTTCGTTGACTACGATTTTTCGTTGGGTATTATTTTCATTCGAATAGTTCGTAAAATAGACTTCGTTGACAACGAAAATTGAAGTAAACCAGAGTGCGTTAATCAGCATTAAGTTAATCACGTGACCAAAACAAACATGGCCGATTAGTCAGTTTGGCAACATCATTTGCGATAATATAATTCAGATTAATTTCAGAAAGTAGAAATTACAATATTTACCAACATGCAATTAAAAAAACTGGATAAAATTTTTTTTTTTACGAAAAACCCATACGGCCACAATCCGAAGCAACCTTGATGTGTATCGTGGCAACTATGCAGCAATTTTGTTTTGTCGAGTATTTACCAGTTTTCTATTCGAGTGTCGTCTTCGTTAAGCAGGATTTTACCACTGCGCAGGTTGGGCGTGGTTTAACGAAGAACGATCAGTCGAATACGGCCTATAGTACAGTTTGCTATGTAATCCAGCTAGATTTTTGTGCCAAAATGGATTTTATTGGCTAACTTTATTATTTTTGGTGTGTTGAATTCAAAAATGTTTGGTACCATTTTTTTCGTGCTTTGTTCGTGTTTGTGCACACACGTGTGAATGCAGCCATGTTCTAAAGACCAGAGTTCTATAGCAAGTCGTAACGCCCGTAGTAAATCGCGGCAGAAGCCGGTTCAGAGCGCTGATTTCGGTTATGGTCAAACCGAAAATATCTTTTAATTGATATTCACTCTTTTTGTTATTTATTTTCATCCGCATTGTCATGTTTATTATCTTAAAGCAGGGAAGTGATGAAACATTTCCCTGGCTGAGGTGTCACGTTTAAGAAAGGCAATTAAATTTCTTTATGATCGTAATTTCTTGTATACTGTATCTATTTTGTTGTGGTCCAGTGTTTTCAGATCCGGTAGCTTATCACATTTCATTTTAATATTGAATGCAATCACATATGTGAGAGAGCTGTTCGCATGTCTCTAACATTTATTCATAACGTCAAACGTTTTCATTATAATAATGACAGATACCTTATAAGACAATGTTGTGCTTACTATATCGAATCTGTTGACATCATTTGTCATCAGATTGTTTATTTGTCCTGCTGATGTTTTCGACAAGGCTGCGTTGCTCAACTTCAAAGCCTAACCAAAGTAATGATAAAGTACGGTATTAAAAAGTCAAGGTAATGCTACTATCATCAATGTCAATGCATACAAACAACAGTTTTATTTTACTTCGTTATAGGTCGCTGCATCATACGGCTGTCTGTAAGTGTACTGTAAATATTAACACATTGTTATAATATACAGACAATAACTTGTAAGCCGCATCATTGTTTATATACCTTTGATTTTGGAAAAATATTACCAGTGATGGTTAAACTAAACAACGGTAATTATTACGTACTTTCCTGTTGTACCTTTTAATATTTTTAGGGAAATACATTGTTTTAAAATAACTTTACTAGTGAGTTTATTGGTCTGCAAACAAAGATAATAGGAGAAGATAGAGCTGACCCCGAAAATAGTTAAAAGCAGCATCCGGGTTCCTGTCCCCCGCCCCACGGTGGCGTCCTTTATCTTTATCAAGTTCGTTTGTTTCCTGCTGGTTTCTTCACAAAATGGAATAGTCCCCGCTCGTAAGAGGACGGACGTTCCATCAGGTTTAATACAAACTGCGCGAAGAGCTCATTCTCCTCCTACCGTAAGTTCTTTGCTTAGGTGAATGCATATCATACGTCTGCGAGCACAGAAGGTTAACACCGTTTTGATGTTATATAACCAACATGACAGAATTTACCTTCTTGTACATGATACCGCAGCAAGCAATTCTTATTTTCATGCCAAACACTTGATTATAGAAGAAGTAAGGCTCATGAATAATGTTGAGTATAACTGTGATTAAAGAAAGTATTCCTGCGTACAGCAGACCCTGACTCAGCGTTGCTGATGAGTCCACTTCAAAGTAGTTAATTAATAATCCTAGTACAATTGGCTGTAATAATTTTAGTGCTTCCTATTGACAAAATGAGAACAAGGTATTTTTTACAATCTATTATTATTTATTTTTATTATATATTATTTTACAATCAATCAGTAAATTTTACCATGTTTTCTAGTGGTTGGGTGTTGATAGAAGTAAGATTTTCTAGACAGGTGGTTCATTATAATTCCTTTTATTACTTTTACTAAAGAACTTTTTAAAAATATAAAGGCCTATGTTAATTTTATACGTACCTCAAAAAACCCTATGATATTGAAGAGTATCATTTGTGGGAGAAACGTTTTGCTTAAAGCGCGCCTCATGCTTGGCTTAGTCCCGTCTGTTTTCTGCGCATACAACTCTTTATTCCATTTTCTATAAAGAGAACAATATCGTCAATTTTATTGGGTTTTTTTAGGCGACAGCAATACAGCTATTGCAGTTTCTGCTCCTTTTAAGGTGTTGTGTTTTTTATTCGGTTTATATGTTTGATCTGCTTTACAAACATAGGCATATATAGTTAGTATGTTTGACAGTGATTGAAAAAATATTATCTTGTGTTGAGGTCATTATAGGCCGCATCAGTTTCATAAGATATGATGCACTAGCAGTGGCGTAACGCCTATGGCTATTCGGAGGTCGAAGCTCTCTGGGCTCCTTTCCTACTACTACCACACCCAGAATTCTAATAGGGTCTACAATTAAAAGCCTTTTACGCTCATTTGGCCTTAACATTCATAAATGTTTCATGATAGAGTGGGGATTCTTTCAAACACCGCTCCCTCATTTCTCGCGCCCGGGTCGCAATTTTTGTAAAATCTCATGAATTAGGCCTATTCATAATAATCCTTTTGGAACATAGTTTGCGCTATTTTCAAGTCCGTGTCAGCCTCAATGATCAGCTGCTCTGTGCATCGTGAGAGGCCTATAGTCCAGTCCGAAACGTAGCAATATCAGAGGTTGCATTTTTTTGCTATATTTTTAAAAAATTGGATATGATGTAGAGCAGACATTGATAAATCAAAAAAGTATGTGCAACATTTTTTTTTTCATACGTAAGGGGGGTTGCCAGCAGTTTCAAAATGGCCGCCATTTTTTCCTAAAATTGTCACTAATACTGTAAGTTTATGTCATTAAAATGCAGTATTCAATTGGAAATTCACTCATAACAATAACAAGAACAGCTGTCTCTTATA